AACTTATTTGTGCATAAAATCCTCGTCCAGGAATCAGCCGAGGTACACAAACTGACAATTTAATATACAGATTCATCAAATTAACTAAACCGATAAATACTTACTTAAGAGGCACTTAGTCCTCACCAAGAAGAAAACTGCAGCGGAAAATAAAATCTAGCGAAGCTCCGGCTCCACTCCCACAGGCAGCTCAACTGGGGTATAAGCCAAACGTCTTCTCCTTCTGGATCCTTTTTCTTCAACTGAGGTTGATTGATTATTGCAAGGTGAGCATATGACATACTCAGCAAGCCACACAGCAAATATGCAAGTGCACAAGGATACCAAAGGATGGCATAATATCGGCTCATTTGCAAAAGCAGCATTTAGCAAAACATTTAAGAGAAGTAAAACAGTGGAGTAATTAATCAGAAATTTTAACCAACACTGAACAGCACACCCATGCTGCACAGGCCCAACCATTCTGAACAACCATACCCGGCTGAACAGATCTAACTCCAAACCAGGAGCTAAGCAAATTATTACCAGTTATAACATCTATAATTATGGTGAGAGGTGTGGGACTAATCACGAAAAACATTGCTCAACTCGCCCATAACCGCGGGCACGGCTATTCGAATAGTTTTACTCTGGCCAGAGGTGTACCACTGTACCCACAAGACACAGCCCCACATCATGTCACCATGTGCCTCAGTACCACCACGGTACCTCGGAAAGGGGCTGTGACAGTACCCCTTGCATAACACAATCCACCGCAGCGCACCATTCCTGGATCATAATCACCCCCTTATAAAACAAGGCATGGACTCCCCAGCGACCCCCGTGGGCTTATCTCCGCCACTTCTCAGTCTGGTGCCCCGCAATGAACCATGCTATACAAAAGATAAAGCCGTTGCCCACGCTGGCTTGTGGTTGGCACGGTTAATGTTTCACAACAGTAGCTCGCGAACCGGTCCTTAATTGTCATGAGCACGACTCTCAAAACCATGTGCTCACAACCCACCATTATCAAGTTTTAGTTGGCAAGTAATTAATTAACCAATCACGATTGACCATCGTGAGCTACCATTAAATATAACCATAAGTGATAGTGAAACATTAGTTATCCCAAATGTGTGCTAATGTTTCTAAGCATGGCTAAGCAATCATATCTAATATCTAGTTGAACCAATATATATAAAGCTCAACTAGTCCAATTATAATCACCCAAGGTATCAAGGAATAAAGTAATCAAGAACAAAAGGGCCATAACAAAGAATAGGTTAATTCCACCCAATGACATTCGAAAATAAATGCACAGTTGAAATAAATAGAGAATTTAAATATAGGATCAACATGCTCAAAGGATTGTGTTTAGGATCTGTGTGACTTGCCTTGCAATAATCGGTCTTCAATTAATCTTCTTGAATACTTCCGGCGCACTCGCGAACCTTCGCAACGACGGAAACGACAAGCTATCACGCAAAACGAGGAAAAAGACTAATAAAAACCAAATAAACAATACATAAAAAGTAAACAAACATGTAGATCATATTTTTAGATGAATTATGAGACTTGAACGGCCTCATTCTGACTTCAAATGAATTTATTATGAATTTTACAAGATTAAATCTAATTAAAGCCCATTTAAAAAGAATTAAATAAATTTAATTCAATTTATGGACAATTTTAATATGTAGATCTTTATTTTATACAACTTTTGCAACTTGAACCACATTAAACTGAGTTAAGATGAATTAGATATGAATTTTTAAAGATTAAATCGGATTAAAACCTTTAAACTGATTTTAATTGAATTATGACGCAATAATGAATTATTTTTGAAAAGGAAAAGAAGGATTATTGCGTCAGCGGGCTAGGGTTTCGGTGGACCGGGCGCACGGGCGGCGGTTCACGCGAACGGACGGCCGAGATCGAACCAATCCAAGATGGACGGCCGAGATCGATCGGGTCCACGGCGGTTTACGGCGGACGGCCTGGATGACGTCAGCGATGACGTCACCACCGGCGGCGGCGGCTCGGCGGCTCGGGCTCGCATGCTCGCCGGCGAACGACGGCGCGGCGACGCGAACGGAGAGCACCAGGACGTAGAGCGCGACGCGGCGAACTCACCGGTGACCAAAGAAGCGGCGGAGAAGCAACGGACGGCGACGGCGACGAGGAGGAAGCGGCGGAAACCTTCGGGTTGACGACGGCGATGAAGCTCCGGCGGTCTCCGGCGACGGCGAAGGGGCGGACGAGGACGGCGACGACCTTGCGAACCCGACGGCGGTCTTCCCGAGCGACGGCGACGGCTGAAACGACGGCGGCGCACGGCTGGAGCGGCGGCGGCGACGGCGAAGCTAGGGCACACGGCGCTAGAGCTCTTCCGACGACGAGAGGCGAAGGCGAGGGTGGCTACGGGTAGAGGAGAGCTCGGGGGTCCTTAAATAGGTGCAAGGAGGCGGCGGCGAAGGCCCACGGCGGCGGAGACGGCGAAGGAAAGCTCGGCTTGGAGAGAGGAAAACCGATCCAATTCGAACTCGAATCCATCGATTTCCAAACCGATTTAGGCGAAGCTTCCAAAGAAGAAAAGGTAGAGGAGATCCCGAGGATCATTTTCCCTCAAACGATTCGGCCGGATAAGGAAAGACGCGGCCGAATTTGGAAGGAGACGGCGGCGGCTTGCGCTAGGGTTTCGGGCGGCGGCGGCGACGCGAGGAAGACGGATCCGACAAGCGGGCCCCACCTGTCAGCGGCTGAGAGAGAGAGGAGAGCGGCGGCTCGGCGGACTGGGCCGGCTGGGCCGAGGAGGGAGAGAAGAGAGGTTTTGGGCCGACTTTCGGCCCAAAGCCAAAAGAAGACTTTTAAAACCTTTTTCAATTTAAATTATTTCTTAAATGCAATTCCATTTACTAAAAATACTTCCTTAGCTCAAATAAATCCCAGAAAAATCTAGGAATTATAGAATTAAGCAAAGTATTTAATGAAATTTTATCTAGCCCAATTTTATATTGAGATTTAACAAATTAAAATTAGATCTTCTCTTATAAGCTTTTAAAATCATTTCTAATAATTCCTTTTAAACAACAATTTATAATTTAAGGATTTTTAAACAAGAAAAGCTCTTTAACAATTATAATTAGATCATTAATGATCAAATAATTACTGAACTGTTCTTTGTATTATTAAGAGTTGAGCTCTGAAAAATCCGAGAAAATTTCAGAGAGTTGACTTAATCATGGAGAATTTAATAAAAATTAAATCCATCCATGCTTTATATTTAGGAAATTTTATTTCCCACATTTAACTTCACTTGTAAATTAAAGAACATTTAATATAAATTCTATTAATAATTTATTAAATAATTTATAAATCCTGAAACGAAAATCAGGATGTGACACAAAGTGTGTTTCCTGGTTTTGTGGATAGGACACCAGGACCTTGTCACTTCGGAAGTCATCTTCGTCAGCTCGCGGTTCATGTCGGAACGACAAGGTTTGGCCGCATTAGAATCCTTCTCGAGCTCGGATGTCGTCGATGTTCCGTTCTCCGCCTCGGCGGGAGGATCTTTCGACATGGAGTCGTCTTGGTTTGTAGCCATTGCGTTCTCGTTTCTAGTCATTGGCGGACCGGTTGAGATCGGCATTGTGGTGTAAACCGGGAAGACGATTTCGCCGACTTGAGTCCACACCAGCATCGTTGAAGCAGGGAATACTTGGCTGAGGTTGGTGTTGACGCTATTGTCGACGAGGCTGGATGACATAGTAGTGGAACCTTGAGTACCAAGTCCCCCTACCTGGCGCGCCACTGTCGACGGGTGATACCCGTAGACCGGATATAGAGGTTATTGGGGTACGCTGGTACAAGGATCTATGTAATACGACATCAAGCAGACAAAAGACAAAGATTATACTGGTTCAGGCTCCTTGATAGGTAATAGCCCTAATCCAGTTGATGTGGGATTATATGATGGAAAACACAGGTTACAAAGGGAACAATGGAAATCGACGGATCCAGCGAGATCATAGTCGAGTTGGTTCGACTAGATCCCTAGCGGTTTGGCTCCTTGCAGGCTCCGACTTCGTAGGCTGTGAGGGTTGTGTTGGCTCTGAGATTCGATGCCTCAGGCCCTCCCCAGGGGGTCCCTTTTATATCACAGGTTAGGCGGTTTCCAAGTAGAACTCGGAAACATCGAACCTTACACGATACATTGACGACCCAGTCTTGTCCGAGTAGAACTCCTTCCATTTGTAAACTCCGTGAGGGGTTTCCTTAATATATGCGGAGAGTATCCGTATACGCGTGGGTATACCATACCGATATGAGACGTATATCAAAGGGTAAAGGGTATACCTAACCCGTAACCCTGACACATGTTTGTGGAGTGATATATTTCATATTAATCTATGTTGTTATTTTTTTCAAATATATTTATAACTATTTAAATGATTTACAAATAACAGGGGATGTCCTCTCGTGGGATGAAAATCATGTGTTACATGAGACAAAACGTATGCACATGTATAAAATTGGCCCATTACCATCGTGACTTTGGAATGGGCCGGGCCGGATTACCCGTGACGTGCTTTACGGCACGCCAACTTCCGGGTTGTTGATTACCGTTGAGAAGTTAGGTGGTGTTTGGATCCAGGGACTTAACTTTAATCTCTGTATTTAGACACTAATTTAGAGTATTAAATATAGACTACTTACAAAACTAATTACATAAATAAAAGCTAATTCACGAGACAAATTTTTTAAGCCTAATTAATCTATAATTAGAGAATGTTTACTGTAGCATCACATAGGGTATTCATGGATTAATTATACTCAATAGATTTGTCTCGTGAATTAGTCCAAGATTATGGATGAGTTTTATTAATAGTTTACGTTTAATATTTATAATTAATATCCAAGCATCCAATGTGATAGCGACTTAAAAGTTTTAGTCCCATCTAAACAGGGTCTTAACGTCTTTTGCTGCTTGTCAACAAGTTAACCAAAAAAAAGGAAAATGGTTCCAGTTAACTGCTCCTCATATCATGTTAATCTGTAGTTAGAATCATGAATACATCAGCCATTCAATGGAATATCTGCAAAAAAAGATGACCACACAATGACACAAGTCACAAGCAGCCAAGCAGAAGAGACATCTACAAAGAGAAACTAAGTCAACACAGACATGCATACAATTACAAGCAGAGAAAAGAAAATCCTTCTCTTCTACTACACCTGAGCACGGCCAATCCAGGCAGTCTGCATGCATTAGGTGAGATCGGTTGTGGTTGAGCCTTGGACATCACTCTGACGAAGCGGACGCATGGCGGCTCTGCTGTCAAGTGTCGGTCTCTTGGGCTGCTCCATCTGCGACGTCCTGCTCGTCAGCATGGCGACGATTTCGGACATGGTCGGCCTATCGTCCGCCATGTCCTGGATGCAAAGAAGCCCGATGTGGATGCACCGTTCTAGATCGTACAGGAGCTCTGCATCGTCGGGTGCAGGCCTCGCCATTGCCGGGTCAAGGAGGTCCATGAGGTTGCCCTGTTCCCACAACCTCCATGCCTGTATGCACGAAAGAGGTCTAACTGAAGGATCCAAATGCCATTGTCTTGCAATGAAGATTTGATGTGTTCAGTGCACTGCTTGATTACCTGTGGAAGAAGCGTCTGCATTGAGCCGTTGCGAACGCCGCTGAGCGTCTCCAGGAGGACGACTCCGAAGCTGTAGACGTCGCACTTGAGCGTCATCTCGTCTCGTAACGCGTACTCCGGAGATGCATAACCTCTTCAATTCACGAATTCAATTCAAGGCTTCAAATCAAAACTTGAGCAACATTGCTACTAGGAACAGCCATTAGTTTACTTACTGTGAGACCACGAGGGTCTGGCCTGACTGATCGGCGACGAACAGCTTGGCGGTGCCAAAGTCTGCAATCTTAGGCTTCAATTCGTCGTCTAGAAGAATGTTGCTCAGCTTGAGATCCCTGTGGATTACACTCCCGTCTGGTCCTTCGTGAAGATACGCGACACCTTTCGCGATGGCCTGAATTATGTCGAGTCTTCTTCTCCAGTGCAGATTAGCTCGACGCGGCAACGGGCCTGAAATGAAGAAGAACATGGAAGGTGACATTATTTATTCATGTCATGGTGAATTTATGATCAGGTCAGTGATGTAGCTTAATAAGCTGAATTCAGATAGAACAGGGTGGGTACCGAAAATGTGGTTGTCCAAGCTCTTGTTCTTCATGTAGGCGTATACCAGTATACGCTCATTGCCTTCGTTGCAGTAAGCTAGGAGGCGGAGAAGGCTACCGTGATGGAGCCCGGCCATCACTGCCACTTCTCTGGCGAAATCCTTCTTGCCTTTGTTCGTCAGAGCTGACTGCTTTAGCCTCTTCACGGCTACCATTCTCCCGTCAGATTGTACTCCCTGGTCATTTCCAAATTTCAGGTGATTGCAATTGCATTTTTGGCATTTGCCAGTGTACGGTATTAAGTATTTGCAACTTATGTTTAATTTCTTTTTTCATGAGGATTAGTGCAACTTTCATGTTACATGTGTCTATCTTCTGAAGAGAGAGGCTCACCTTATAAACGGTGCTAAATCCACCTTCACCAATCAAGCAATTTTCTGAGAAATTTTCAGTAATAGACTTTATAGTAGCTAGATTGACTGAAGCAACGCCCATAGAAGGGTTATCTGGAATAACATCTGTGGTATTAGCAATTTAGCATACAGTTTGTTAGCTTAGAACTTCATAATAAATATCCTTAAGATTAAAAGCCTGGATTTACCTAAAATTCCGTGATTCTTTTTGCACCAAATAGCCCAAACCCCAAAAGCGATCAAAAGAATAGCAATGGTAGCAGCTACAGGTGGGACAACTAGTACAATCAGAGACCTTTTGGTCTCAACTGTTACTCAGACAAAAAAAAAAAGACATAGAGAGAGATCAGTTCATGCTCAGAATTACTCCCTTCGCTGACTTTTCTAGTTAAAACTTCTTTAGATTAAATCAAATTTATATAAAAAATTAAAAGAGATTGCGACATCAATTAGGTTCATTAAATATAATATTAAAATATTTTGATAATATGTTTATTTGTATTGAAAATATTGTTATATTTTTCTATAAACTAAATTAAACTTAAAAAAGTTTGAATAGGAAAAAGAAAAGGTGAGAGTGACTTATATTCGAGAGAGTATCATATGTCGGCATTTCTTTTACGGTGACATCAGGATCGTTACTTTGTTAAAAAAAAGAACTGTTACTTTGACATTTCTTTCGCTAATCTTTTATCTGGGGTCATTTTCATTCAAAATATAGGCTCGGATTGAAACCCATTTTCATTATTGTTTTAGAACATAATCTTTCAAGATAAAATTGAAAATAAAGCAATGCACATACCAAATTCAGACTTAGCCAATCTCAGGTACAAATCCTGCCCGCGGTCAACGTAGCGAAGATCGACGATGTCGTCCGTCCAAATGACGCAGCCGCCGCCGTTGATGTCGGCGGCGGCGTAGGCCACGCACGAGCAGTTTCCCAGGCACCTCCGCTCGCACTCCGCCGCCGTGGCGCCCATGTCCACCGACGCGTTGCGCGTGTCTGGCAGCTTCACCCCCCGCACCACCTTGAACTTGTCCGTCGTCCTGCTCCCGCCGCCGCCGCCGGCGCAGTCCAGCGCCACGCCTCGCCGGCACCCACCGGAGGTGTTCCGCAACGCCCACGCCGACGGCGACGCGGCGGTGAACCCATCCACGCAGCCGCAGAACGACGTCGCCGCGGCGTCGGCGTCGCACAGGCCGAACGGCCCGCACCGCGCGTAGCTGTCGCAGGGGTCCCTCGGGCCCTGGAAGAATCGCTGCCATGCCCGGCTGCTCGCGTCCCACACGAGGCGCTCGACCACGCCGGTGTAGTTCACCACGACGCGCGTCAATGGCGCGGCGCCGGCCGTGGCGACCGATCCGTAGCCGTAGGTCACCTCCCTCGCGCTGGACGTCACCTGCAGCGGGAACTTGTCGGAGTAGTTGGACGCCTCCGGGACGCCGTTGAAGAACCTGCCGTTCCACGGGCCCGTGCGGTACACCTTGGTGGCGCCGCCGCCGCCGCCGCCTCGCCACAGGACGAGCTCCGGTAGGCCGTCCGTGGCCAGCGTGCGGCGGTAGTCGCCCGGCGACGGGTCGTCAGCGGAGCGCCACGCCGTGATGAACCACTCCTGCCCGCTCCACAGGCTCTTGCCCATCTTCATGCCGGGCAGCAGCGTGTCCGACGGCTGGTCGAACGACTGCCACAGGTAGGCGTCGCCGCCGCTGCCATTGCGCACGACGAGGTTGCCGGAGTCGAGAAGCTGAACCACCGCGGCAGAGGCGGCCAAGAAGCTCGCGGACCACACCGTCCGGCGAGAGCCGCCGTCGAGCAGGACGAGCTGGCTGCCATCGTCGTTGAGCAGCAGCACGCCGGACTTGCCGTCGAGGGGGCGGTCACGGTTGGCTACCCAGTAGACGGTGTCGCCGGACACGGTGAACCATATGCCGAGGTATCTCTTGGTCGACTTCCCGGGAGAGAAGAACCCCAGAGTGTACGAGCCGCCGCCGGACGAGACGAGCGTCTGGCCGTCGGTGAGGTTCTGGCCCTTGTCGAGCTTGTCGGCGACGCCCGCGGCGGCGGCGGCCGACGTTTGGCCGGAGAGGAGGAAGAAGAAGGCGACCAGGCGGAGTAGGTTAGACGATTGCCTGGTTGACCTCATGACAAGGTCAAAATGTCTCTAGCTCTTGTTGCATGCAGAAAGGCTAGCTCATGCAGCAGATGGCCATGAAGGATGGTCATGTATACTGATCATAGGCATTTCTGGATATTTGGATTGGAATATTGGATGATAAACTAGTTAATTCAGGTAGTCCGGATCTGTCTATTTAGAATTTGAAAGAGGTACATCAAATCCCATACGACAATATCTAAATTCTCTCAAAGTCGTACTCCAACTAATTGGCTGAATTTATTAATTTGCACTCAATTGGGTGTGAAAAAATTGCTTAAAAAGTGCAGGTCAATGTGACTGCTTCGTTCCAAAGATTTCTTCGTCTTAGCACGACCTGTGGCTACACGTAACCATGTAGCAGAGCTTTACATTCTTTTGGCCTGAAAAAGGAAATGGAGAAGCACAATATGCATCCTAGTTATCCAATGGGTTAACACAAGGCAAAAGTCTCCCGTGCACGATGTCTCACAAATGACTTTTTACAGACACTCAAATCCTACTCAAAATAGCAAACAGATTTGATAACCGGTCACTAGGGCCTGTTTGGTTGCTACCCTGAAAAAAATTTACCTGACCTGAGACTAGCCTGACTCGTTCTAGGCTCTGTTTGGTTGCTAGCCTGACACTCTTTTACTCAACACGGAGACGCGTGATTAGCCTGAGTCAAATCGGTGGCCTGAGCCTCAGGCGCAGCGAGGACAGAAGATTACCATCATAATCTGTTTCGGCAGCCAGCAGAATGAAGCTGCCCTCCCGTGAAGCTCTGATGCCGCCACTGCGTGAAGCCCTTGCCTGGCTGCCTCCGCCGCCGTAGCTATCGCCGCCGAGTGAAGTCCATGCCACCGTCGCCTTCGTCTACGCGAAAGCCCCTGCTGCCGTCGCCGGCGTGCGACACCAGATTTATCCCGTCGTCTTTCGCGGCGGCTGTCGATTCTTCGGATCCCGTCGTTGTTGCAACATCTTGGCGCGAAGCTTCAGCCAATGCTGTGATTCTTTTCGCTCCTGTCGTTGTTGCCGATTGAAGCTTGCCGACTGCTGCTTGGATTTGGGGATATTTTTAATCCTTGTACTCCTTTGGTTTCCCTTTTTTTATGTATGTGATTAATTGCTATTGGAAAGCTACGATTTCAGTTGGAACTGTCAAGCAATCTCGCCGAAATTTGCGTCTTCTTGTTTAGCACTTAACTTACTAGTGAATTATCAGACCCAAATCACTTTTTCCCTTCTCAGGCAGCGGCGGCAAACCAAACAAGCAAAAGTTCAGGCCGCCTGGCCAGGTAACATTCAAGAACTTCTCAGAAGCATGGTGCTCAGGGCATCAACCAAACAGGCCCACAACAGGAGGATAAATTTCCTGGTGTTGCATACCCTGATACCCAGATGTATAAACAAACGGCATTCCAATTCCCAAATACGCTTACAGTTCCACATATTACAAGCAAACCTATATACAAAAATAATAACAGGTTTATTACTAGGTTAACAACAAACAAACAGGGAAAATGAGAGACACCAACTTCAGTAATCCAGGTTGGCAAGTTGAACAAGAGATTCAGAGGCACTGACAAGGAGCTATCTGCCTTGCAATTGAGTATACGTCAACTGATTCCCCGATCCAGTATTGTTATCATCCAGAGGAACCCTTCCGACGAAAAATGCAGCTTGCTTCGGAGCAGGAAGTGTAACATCCCCACTGAGCATCCTGAGCACCAGGGGCATGCTTGGCCTATCACCTGGTAATTCCTGCACGCACAGAAGACCAACCTGGATGCATCTGCATACTTCATCGTAAGAGCATATGGTGCCCATGAGTGGATCGATCAGCTCCGAGACACTGCCTTCCTTCCACAGTGTCCACGCCTGAAATGGGTACAGTGAATTAGAAGATGCCAATCATAAAACGTGTATTGATTACCATATAGTTTGCCATTTAACTGGAAAATGACAAGGGGAAGAAGATAGTATCATCTTACGTAACCCAAGAGATTCATTGACCATTCTTCATCAACAAATGAGCTGTTCCTTCGTCCGCTCACAATCTCTAGGATCAACACGCCGAAACTGAAGATGTCTGATTTCTCAGAGAATTTGCCCTCCATTGCGTACTCTGGAGAGATGTAGCCACTGCATCTCACAGATTTTAGCACATTTAGTTTGCCTTCTAGGACATCTCGTAATGTCAACTAGCAGGTGGATTTTGTTATGATCTAAATAATGTAGTAAAATCATAGAGTTAATGATGCAAGAAGAAAGCAGTAGTTTAGTGAGGCAGGTCAGTACAGTTAAGAGTTGGATCGTAGAATTTTTGTTCAATTTTACTCTAGTGAACAAAAGTGAAAAAGAGCCTTACTAGGTTCCAACAATTCGGTGGGTAAGGGCTTGAAGTTGGTGTTCACCAAATATTCTAGCCATACCAAAGTCAGATATCTTGGGGTTGAAATCATCATCAAGCAGAATATTGCTCGCTTTGAGATCCCTGTGAATAATTTTGAGCCTGGAATCCTGATGAAGGTACAATAATCCTCTCCCAATTCCCTGAATAATCTTGTATCGCAATTTCCATCCAAATATTAGCCTCTTACTTTCATCTAATAAGATTCACATGAAAGCACCAAATTAGCAGACAAGTTCAGTTACTGGCTTACATCTAAACAAAATCAGAACGTCAGGATTTGCAGGAATCAAACTAAACGTTACCAAAAATAAATGAGTCAAGGCTCTTGTTGGGCATGTATTCATACAGCAACATCTTCTCTTCTCCATGAACACAACAACCAAAGAGCCTAACCAAATTCCGGTGTTGCAGTTTGGATAGAACTATCACCTCGTTCTTGAACTCTTCCAATCCCTGACTGGATCTGTTTGACAGCCTCTTGACAGCAATCTCCTGGCCATCAGGTAGTACCCCCTAGAAGTAATATCAACTATGTTGGTTCAGGTATTGATCTTATAGCATTACGATTTTGAATTCCAGGTCAGAACAAAGATAGTAAAAACAACAATTTCATTCATATTAACAAGATAGGATAAAATGATAAAATGTTTAAATGACCATACCTTGTAAACAAAACCAAATCCGCCTCCACCAAGCTTGTTGCTAAAATTATTTGTTGCTGAATAAATCGTGCTAAACTCAACTAGTGGTGAGCTTAGAACTGCGGATTTCACTGAATCACTTCTGAATATAGCTTCATCTGCAGGTGGTCCAGCTTCTTTTGTGATCAGCCGTGGTGCTTGTATTCTCCTTATGCCTGCAGATTAGTAAAAATATTAGATATAAACCTACCAGACAGCTGTTAACGCAAACTGAACTATATCAGCAATCTCTAAGACTAAGAGATAACTGTCATGAAATTATGTTTGGCCGTAGAATATTATGAAGTCTTAGCCTTGTATATTCATAATCTGAACAATGGCATGTATCATACAAATTATTCCTCTAAATCATACAACAGAAAGAAACACTAATGACATCGTAGAAGGAATCCAAATACATGTGAAGAAGTCAGTAATAAAAATATTACCCATTTGCTTTATGACAAATTTCTTCAGGCATCCAAACACACAGAAATGCATGAGCATGATGCCGATAAGGAAGATGGCAGTATCAGCGCTCACTAAGACAATTGAGCATTTATGCTTTGCCTAGAGGAATGCATGTCAACATCGAAATTTCGTGGATTTGCAAGATAATATGTTGTCAATGCTCCGTTCTTATCAAACAGAACAACTGGTCAACAAGATTGGTAGAATGACAAATAAAAACTGATAAATTTATAAGACAATGGAACGTGATGTATTAGACACTGTTATCCTTCGCTTGACCACTTCAACCATTCCATGTTCTTGACAAGTTCAGTATTTGTTGACGAGATCATGAATAAACAATCTTAGGATGTCACTATCTGACCATGCCACCTCCTAGCTTTGCTTAGGAGTTAGGACAGGAGCGAAGAAGGCAATGCATTTTTTTCATAGAGCAATGCTTTTCGTTGGCAAGTGGCAACAAATTAACAGCAGCCGGAGAAATCTCGGGACAGTCTAGCATGGACCAAGTGCTGAAAAAAAAATGAAAATTGAGACGCGGAAATGTACGTCCTTGCAGATTATCAGATTAGTCAACATATGCGGCGAATAACTAAAATTTCTAACTATCTTCCCGATCCCTAACTCACAATCCCTGTAGATTGTCTATACGGGTATAGGTGGGAACAGGATGGAACTGGGATTAAATTTTTGCGGGACCTAACAACCCAGAAATTTCTTCATTCATGCAGGCAGGATGACATTTCGTGCATTCCTATACCAAAAATATCGCTTAAAATCTGAGGTGAAATAAGGGAGGAGTAGTACGTAGTTACTGATTCTGGGTCGCCTTTCCGAGCAAGGGAAACGCAGATCGCCGAGGATAAGATGGGGAGATCTTCACGGTGGAGAGGATCTGGGCGGCCGACCCATCGCGCCTACGGCCGGCGGGTCCCCCCCCCCCCTTCCATCGCCGGCCAGACCGCCGGCGGCTTCGGCCTCGTCGCCTCCGCCGTCGCCGCGGCACACCACCTCGCCGGCAGCGAATCCCCTCCCCTGGAGGCCAGTCCGACTAATGGGCTTTGCCGTTAGCGGCCTATACCGTAAGCAGGCCAGATCTAGTTGTCACATGCGGAAAGAATAAATTCACTTTAGGTCCCTCTATTTGTCGTACAGTCTGATTTTTGTCTCTGAAGTGTAAAACCGGATACAACATATCCCCCAACTTATAAAACCAGCGCACATAAGGTCAGGTCCTAAGGTGGTTTGGATAGCAGTTTTGGCTGACGTGGCGCCTACGTGGCTGGTTTGACTAGGTCTCCGTCCCACGTGGCATTGACGTGGCACTTACGTAGCAATTATATCTCAAAAAATAATAAAAACAGCGGGCCCACATGTCAACTACACAAAAAAAATTAATTTAGAAATGGTGGGGCCCACGGTGGCCCACATGTCAACTACACAACAAAATAAATATGGTGGGGCCCACGTGGACCCCGTATGTAGGCTGTAGCAATTTCTTTCTCCTCTCTATACCCTTCTCCCCTACCTTCCCATATCAGCCATTGCCGTCGACGAAGAAGCTTCGCGTGGGTGGTAGAGCGGGGCGGAGTGAGGGGCGGCGGCGCGGCGGATCCTCGCGACCACGTACGGCTTCGTCTTGACGGCACCGACGACGCGGAACCGGTCGCCGCCGACGTACCCCACCTCGCCGGCGCACCCCGCCCCCACTCCGCGCGGGCCGCCGCCGCCGGAGTACACGACGCCGATCCTGGAGCCACGTGTGCACCATGGTCCGGTTCCTGAACTCGAACGCCTGGAGCTGCACCGTCGCGCCGGGAAGACCACTGACGGGAACAGCACGATGGGGATCTCCGCCGCTTGCTCCTGCCGCGGCGCCCTCGTCCACGCAGCCGTGCAGGTTGCTGCCGCCCCTGCATGTTTCCCATCAAACGTGTACTAGCAACTACAACCAGCAACACCATGGATTGTTAGTTGAGATGATCACATCTTCCATATATATCATATCAGTTATCCCCAGCTCCTAGGTTTTTTCTCCAGCTATGATCAATGATTCAAACGAGTACACTTTGTCCGATCCACAGGTCTGAATATTCCATCCGCAGAGAATTCTGAGACGACGACGACGAAGAAGCTAGATGGAACTTGCAGAGTCTTGAGCGCCGTGGTCTCCTCCTCCTCCTCCGCGGCAGCGGCGGCGGGCTGCCTCGAGCTCCCGTCCACGTGCGGCTGCGACTCGGCGGGCGGCGGAGCCAAGCGGAGGGCGCCAGCCTCGTCGTCGTCGTCTTCCGGCACGAAGCCGGCGGGGCGGGGCGGAGCGGGGGGCGGATGGCAGCGCGAAGCCGACGGGATGGACTGGGGCAGCGACGGGCGGACGCGCGGGCGGAGTCTTCTTGAGGTCGTCGTCCCCGGCGCCGCCGTGACCGTGGCCGGAGAGGGGAGATGGGGAGAGGGGAGGAAGAAGAGGTAGGGGTGAGTGACATGCGGGGCCCACGTGGGCCCCACCATTTTTTATTACTTTATGTCTAAAACTGACATGTGGGTCCCATGGGGTTTAATATTTTTTCATATCAAGTTGCCACGTCACCACCATGTCAATGCCACGTGAGACAAGGAGCTAGTCAAAGGGAGCCACGTAGGTGCCACATCATTTAAAACCGGGCACAATACTGCCGAGGGACTTTTTCTGCATGGTTTTGTAAGTTGAGAGATGAGTTGTATCTGGTTTTGCGACCAAAGGATAGAAATAGGACTGGACGACAGATAAAGGGACCCAAGTGAACTTATTCCCATGCGGAACAACCTACAATCCGGCTTCATTTAGAATGGGCCTCAATTCAAGCCCATTTATCTGTATGGGCTAGAATTTAAGTTCAAATCCTCATCCTTTTCACGCTTGATTGGGCTGGGATTAAGGCCCATTTATACACGGCCACCATGCTTCTTTTTACCAACGAACGAACTGTCGCATTCAAAAGAAGAGAAAACACCCCCCCTTCTTCTTTCTCCTTGACGTCATGTCAGTGAACTTGTTTTCCTTTCCCTCCTTCAAAAACCATGTAAGCAAATCCAGGAGAGAAAAAAATAAAGATCTAGACATCGGACGGCACTATCCAAGTTTACCACATCCTGCGGGCAGAGCTCGCGTCACTGCCGTCACACCGTAGGGAGTTTAACGCGCCTAAGCATCCACACCCCTCGCCGGGCGTCCGCATCAACGCTGCTGCTCCCGTCGCCGTGCCACCCACTCCACCATCAGTCCATCACATATTCTCTCGTCCTATCTCTGATGGCGCTGTCCACATGCGCCACCGTGGCACGCGCCGCGCCGCGCCGCGTCAGGCGTCCGTCAGCGGGTGGAAACCCACCGGTAATGAGAACGAACGCCACCGCGACCACACACAGAACCCGCTCGGAAACACAAACATCGGCGTTGAACGCGCGACGAATTCCAACGCGAGAACGCGCCCAAAACCGCAAAGCAGCCGAGCTTCTCTCGCGCGCGCACCAACCGCCGCCCGTGCCCGGTGCTCCCCCCACTCACGGCACTACAACAGGAATACCCCTCCACCAACGTATAGGCTGCAACGGAAGTGATAATCGTTGTTAAGCATCCGCTTTCAACCACTCGGCCACGCCCAGCGACCCAAGTCAACAGAAACGCAACCAACCATTATCTTTTCCTGAAAAACCTCCCCTCACAATCCTCGCCCGATCGAAAAGGATCGTGATCCCAGATCGCTGCCGTGTCAATGCTGCGCCGCCCCGGCCCGAGCACCGCCGCCTCGTCCCTGCCCTGACCCCGCCGCATCCTCCAGTTCTGCCGTCGACGCTGCGCCGCCTCGACCCGCATGTCGCCGCTTTATCCTCTCCCGTGCTGCGCCGACGGCTGACCGGCACGCCGCCGCCTCATTGCCCCGATCGCGATGGCCCCTGAATCCCCTGACCCTGTTGCCTGGACCGCCACATCGTGCTCCATCTCGTCCGCTGCTGTTCTCAGCTGATCTGGTATGTGATTGCGGCTTCTAATGTACGAATTATCATTATTCCCTGACGTGGACTGTTGTGTGCTCTAGATACTTCGTTAATTTTGCAAGAAACACACCTAAATCCTGTAGAGCTTTATATCTGCGATAGGCAAGTAATGATGCCCTCTTTCTCTGCAGGTTGATCCCTAGTGACTTAGTTATTAGTTATTGATCATGCCCCAAGTTTCTCGATGGAATTGCAATGTAAGCTAAGTGATTAGTGAATCTTGTGGCTATTTTTCTGCTCTGGTATGTGGTAATGACATGAACCATGCCTTTTTTATTAACTTTATCATTATACAGTGCAGAGTAACCATAAAAAGATATAAAGTTCATAGCTCAGATTGTCGACTTTTTTTAATTAGTTTAAGTTATGTTTTGCCAATTACTACCTGCTACCAGATACATAAATTTAACATGTGGACAGTTGTTTGTTGCTGTTCTATCATCTAAAAGATGAGTGTATTCATGCCACAGAAATATTCTGCTTTTCTTATGTCCAAGTTCCATTTATTTCAGTGTGAAGAATTATTAGCAGAGAATTCTTAACCAGGGATGGTTCCAAAGATGCTTGGCACAAAAATTTAGCCATTGGTGAAAGCAAATAATTTGATCCAAAGAGTAACTCTGGCTGTTAAGTGACAAATTGAGATCTCATTCTGCTACATGAACAATGGTAAGATTTACTAGGAATATGTCATTGCAGTTTAATTGTCGTGGTGTATAAGTTATCCCTTTGTGTTCTTATCTGAGCTATATAAACTAATAGAAACATTGGCATTTAATTAGAAATACCTGGAATCATTTCCAATTGTGTATAGCAGTTTTGGGCTATCTTGTTGATAGTTTGTGCAATTTTTTGACAGGGAAAGCCAACCCATACTTCGGATTTTTTCCAAGCTGTAATGGGATGTTAAATGTTCATTTCCATTACATATCTTTTCCTGTAATCCAGTGACATCTATTTTATGGTGAAGTGTTGCCTTGAGGATGATGGGATAGAGGAAGAAGAAATTGCTAAGGAGAAGATATTGTTGTTGCTGCCAAGTGCCCAAGTTACAGAAACTAATGTTGATCTGGTCACAGAGAAAATTCAAGATGATGTTTTTTTTTTTTGCAAGATTCAACATATGTTTGTACTACACTCACTAATATGCTGTGGTGTATACACAAGTTGTACTTATAAGAGATTTGTGAATTAATATATTGTGATTTTTTTCTTATAGTACTTATGAGTTTTTCTTGTCCAAATGGAACCTATATAAGATCGTAGTGTAAATTATTAATTACAAATTGGCAAGTAAGTAATATGTATTTGGTAAATGTGAACAGTATCTTCCAGTTGCATCCTATTGCTCACTTACAACAGTTATTTATGTCGTTACCAACGCTTATGTATGTATGGCTATAGATCGTAGCAACGTATAGACCTTAGCAACGCCGGCATAGGCAACACATAGTCAATGTGTTGCTATTGGACCTTACAACGCTTATTTAGACCTTTAGCCACACATATATTCGCTGCTAGAGGGGGGTTCCTCTTGTAGTGTTCCGGCGAAAAGAAAATCTACAGAAGCACAGATTCTCGCGTCGCCTAGCGACTAGCGAGACTGCTAAGCTAGAGTGGTTGGCCTTAATCAAATACTGCTACTGTCCAACTTGCGGTTCGGCTCATGTGATTGGTCGTCGCGTGTTCATTCGCGCACGAGTTCAATACTTGTATTACTGCACTGATCAGTTCTAGATGCATACATGGTTGGTATTTGGCATCTCTGAAAATTGGACTTAGGATTGGATTTACGTTAGACTTGTGAGGGCATTGAATTGAACATGTAGAGACAGACGAGAGGAAGGAGTAGTTGCGTTGGCGCCTAATCCGTTTGTCGACAGAAGGAAATAAGCAGCAAATATATAGAATGTTCAAATGCAGGTTCTAACGCTTGGGAAACTTCTGTGTTTGGTCAACTCGTCTTTCTTAATGGGTGATGGAAAATATCTTAACCGTGTCAGCAACACGGCAACTTCTCTAGAATCTAGATTCCCATGCAAAAATGAACTATTTTTTCTACTCTAAACAAATCTGAAGCCCTCGACCACATAAACAGGTCTGAATAATATAACCTTAAATCTGATGAAATCGATCTTTGCTCACTGTAATCTGCTCACTAACCTGAATACAGTGATGCACGCAAAGGCAAAAAAGTATAAATAAAAAGCCAGAAAAGTCAGAAGCATCTGTCATCATGGCCTCATGGGTGCCAATGGATGATGCAGATCTGGGACAGATGAGACGACAATTGGGCAATAATGCCCAACTCCAACTCCATGTAGAGAAGGAAATTTCGAACGGAGGTCGCTTTCTATATTTCTCTTGTCCTCTTCTTCTCCCCTTCGTCCTCGCTACCATCGCCCTATTAATATTCCTCAAAATCCAAATTTGAGACAACCCGAATTCAGTCCTCAGCGAGTCGGAAACGCGCCGAAAGACGAACTGGAGGCGCCCCCCCAAATCTTGAGATCGCAGGTAATGTCCATAGGCGCCGAGCTTCATGAGTCCTCCTGCGAGGGATCTTGTCTTGAGGTTTCTTGCATATTGGCCTGTGCATTTTGAGTTTTGATGTGCTTGCTGCTGATCCGAATTCCATCTCCGTTGTTGCCGTAAGATTCTGAATCGAATTCATGCATTTGTACGGCAGATTTTTTTTTCCCCCGCTAGATCCGTATGGTGTGGTTATTTGGGCGATGATAGTATGGGTCCAAGAAACGCGGTTTTCCCTGTGAATTGAGGATCTCCAATTTGCTTCTTTGGCTTCGGTCCATGGCAGTTGTGTTCTCCAATCCCATGGTTCATGCTAGACGCTTCCTGCAGACAGGACTAGACATTTTCAGTTTTGGTAACTGTGAAGATTATGGCATTGTTTTACCAAGAGAAACTGCTGCATTGTGATATGTAAAAAATTACCCTTTTTTTCCTTCTCTTTTAGTAGAATTATTACGGAACATGCTTCGCTTGGCGTCTGTATCGATCTACGTTCTTTATTCTAAAAGGCTGTGCTTTTTTGTGAGCATTGTCATCCTTTTTTTTTTCCTTTCAACTCCTTCTGTTCATTTAATGAACAATTCCGTTCTTTCTGGTGTTGATACTGCCACGTTTTACTGATTTTCCATTATTTTATTAATTCCTACTTGACAAGATTCTTATCGAACAATTATTGTGAATCTTTTAGTAGGAATCTCGTAAAGCGCCAGTGTCGCATTTTCCTTTGAGGATCTGATTTTTCCCATCAAGCAATGGTGGGATAGCCAGTAGTAAAATTTAGGCTTTCAGGCTCACTCCACATCAGAAAATTTTCTACTTACATACTATCGTTTGTAGAACAATCGTGGAAGTTTATGCCCTTGCTCAAAAAAAAAAAAAGAACAATCGTGGAAGTGGAAAAAGGGTTCCGTGAAGCGCATAGATCAATAATGTCTAATCTCTTTTCACTCATAAAAATGTTTTGCAGGATGGATGGACATACAAATGGCACTAATGGTTCCTGCTCTAAGCCATGCGAGCCATTAACAGACTACTGCATCCCTGATTACATTCTGAATCCTGACTCTGAACAAGTCCTCGTTGATCAGGCACCATGTTGCCCTGTAGTAGTATTCATCAACTCTAGAAGTGGCGGCCAACTCGGAAGCAGTTTGATCAAAACGTATCGTGAGCTTCTCAATAAAGCGCAGGTACCTAATCTAGTAGTTTGGGAAGATGGAATGCTGAAAAGATTCCCTTGAGCCATAGTAGGACTTCATATCATTCTCTCATATTATCTCATATTTGGATCCACAATTTTTACAGGTTTTTGATTTATCAGAAGAGGCTCCTGAAAAGGTGCTTCACAGATTGTATTGCAACTTTGAGAAGCTCAAGTCTAATGGCGACCCTATTGCTTTTCAAATTCAGAGCAACCTAAGACTAATTGTGAGTAGCCTAACTAGAAAACATAAAGAATGATCTTTTTGCTTTAGGATATGTCCTCTTAACTAATGATCTTTGAAATAGGTTGCTGGTGGTGATGGCACAGCAAGTTGGCTGCTTGGTGTAGTTAGTGACCTTAAGCTCTCTCACCCACCTCCTATTGCAACTGTGCCTCTGGGAACTGGAAACAACCTTCCATTCTCATTTGGATGGGTATGTCTATGACTATTGTTTTGTTCCAACACATATATTCTCTTCAGTTGTGATAATCTCCTCCCTTTAGATAATTCACGCTTGTTGTGAATTTGTGATCATATACGAGCTGTTTTTGTTGTTGAGCTGTTTGACAACATAAGAAGGTTTAGCATTAAGAAACATGCATTTTTGAATTAATAGTGAAATAGTGATCATACGCTTGATACCTAAATTTTATGTCTTATTGACTGTGAGCTGTGAGGGGTGCATGATTTTTCATTCTAAAGTAGAAGATTACTGAATCTGAGATTTTCTTGTTAGTTTGATCTGGATTCCTTGGCCGTCTTTTTACCTAGTCTGCATAATCTGCAGCCATGATCTCTGAATCTTCCCTGGCATCTAGTTTTATACCTCTATTAAATTTAATTTGACTGCAGGGGAAGAAGAACCCAACCACTGACCAAGAGGCGGTGAAATCATTTCTTGGACAAGTTAAAAAAGCAAGAGAAATGAATATTGATAGGTAATATCTCAAGCACACAATGTTATATTTGTTTCTGTTTTTTCTGTCATGCTTGTGAAAAGTACAAGTCCTGCCCAATAATTCACTGCGACAGCTCTTTCATATATGTTGTGTAGCAGTCATTTTTAGTTTTAAACATGAGTAAAATGTAATCCCTTATATATTCTGCATATGAAAGAAAACACTCATTTGAATGTACTTTTTTAAGTTGGCATATCATCATGAGGATGCGAGCTCCACAGGAAGGTCCATGTGAACCTATTGCTCCGTTAGAGCTGCCTCACTCATTGCATGCATTCCACCGTGTATCAGGAAGCGATTCACTTAATATGGTAAGACAACTCACTGTGGATACTGTTTTTACTTGATTCTTTCTATTACAGAAGTAGTAGCCAATAGCCATGGACTTTCACTTTTGAATAGTATGGACAATTGGACAGGCTGAGAACTGAATATATAGATCTTTAAGCTTGCTTAGCAGTTTTTTCTTTTATATTTTTGTTCAGGAGGGCTACCACACATACCGTGGAGGATTTTGGAATTACTTTAGTATGGGTAAGAGTTCCTCTGGTATCCAAGGCACAGCATGATGTTTTTTTTTTTTTTTGGTTTATGCTAGTTCTTGCTCTAACAGATATCAAACAGTCACCGTTGTTATCCAGTACCTTTTAATCAGGACTTGTTAACAATATTATCGTAGAACATATTTTAGTATCTTTTAAGCATATCATGATTAATAAGGCAGTAATAGAAACATGGTCATCATGACTTCACATACTGCAGGGATGGATGCACAAGTGTCTTACGAATTTCACTCTGAGAGGAAGAGAAATCCCGAGAAGTTCAAGAACCAGCTAACAAATCAGGTTCTTCTCGTTTCTGTAGGGCAAGTCTTGTGGCACATTTCATTTTGTTTATGCTGAATGTTGTGATGCATTTCTTTGATGCAGAGTACATATGCTAAGCTTGGACTTAAACAAGGATGGTTTGCTGCTTCACTAACTCACCCATCCTCGAGGTAGCCTGTCACTAATGCAACCATGATGCCCCTGATATTGATCAAATTATCCTCATTGATCGGTGTTAGCATTTCAAGTACCACGCTTAGCTATTATATGCCTTTACGTCGGATATGCATGACGTGTACAGCTCCCATTTTCAGGAACATTGCTCAACTTGCAAAGGTGCGGATCATGAAAAGACCTGGTGGCCAATGGGAAGAGCTTAAGATTCCTCGCAGGTAAATAAATCCTTGCTTCCTTTGCAGTGTATTTGTACAAGGCAATTTCCATTTTGCTTCATCTAAAATGTCTGGTTCTTCCAAAATCCCAACCCCATTTTCCATCTCCAAGTTTCTTAGACACATTTCTAGAATGTTATCATCACCACAGAATGTAGCTATGAAAATCAACATATATTCCCTCTATTGTTTCAGCATTCGATCAATCGTCTGTCTGAATCTGCCAAGTTTTTCTGGAGGACTGAATCCTTGGGGAACACCTGGCACCAGGAAAGTACAAGATGTAAGTAGAGCACTTGCCTCTTCTGTTGTCGTTTCACTCCTAATGGCTTTGCCATGGGCAAAGAATTTATAAGTTTTCATGGCAATATGCAGAGAGACCTGACTGCACCATTTGTCGACGACGGCCTTATCGAGGTTGTCGGCTTTCGCGATGCCTGGCACGGTCTTGTCTTGCTTGCCCCTAATGGCCATGGAACTCGTCTAGCACAGGTGATGCATCTGTTCTCAACCCATTTCCTGAACTCCCTACATTTCAGCTAGCATTGCTGATGCAGTCACACATTTCACATTTTTCAGGCCCATAGAATCCGGTTCGAGTTCCACAAAGGAGCAGCCGAGCACACGTTCATGAGGATCGATGGGGAGCCATGGAAGCAGCCTCTTCCCAAGGACGATGACACCGTGGTCGTCGAGATCTCTCACCTCCGTCAGGTCACCATGCTCGCCAGCGACCCGTGCAAGTCGAAGAGCGTCAACGACCCCTCGTCGCCGATGTGCTGTAGCAACCACGACGACGACGAGCGCAACAGCTTGGAGGACGAAGATGAGTGGGAGGAGGGGAGGAAGAAGTTTGGTGCAGCTGATACGTTCAAGTTCCCTGATGAGGTTGATGTTGCTCACCTTAGCTGAGCTATAAGTGATTCAGAGTTCAGATTTCAGAATGTTCGCTACTACTGTTAGCGATACTGCCTTTTTGGGGGTTTATATATACTACTAGTTTATTAGTTATCAGCCCTGTGTAGATTCGACCGGCTGTATTCGAGAACTGCAAAATTTTCCGAGTAATGTCATATTTTCATGCAACGCAATTGGTCTATTCCCAGAAAATCATGTCCCAAAACAAACTTCTTGTCCTGAACCCTCTGTATAGGTTTGCTAGCGTAAATTACTCATTTTTTGCGGGGAAGTGTAAATTACTCATGTCAAGCTGCTTTTTACTTGAAAAAACGGTCCATTTTACTTACCCGAACTTGTTCACTTAACATTTAAACTATTTGTTTTCTCATTTTACCCCCCTTAAATTATTAAAAACTAGCTGGGTGGCCCGTGCAATTGCACGGCTAGCACCCATATAAAATTATATATTTTTAATATGATTTTACTTAAAATTTATTAAATAGTTATTTCGATGTCTTAAGATTTTGAAAAACCAAACCTTATCATCCTCGTGTTTCTAATTTTATAGTTTTTAAAAGTCACACCAGTTGCTACCCCTTACTTCTATCATATTATTCTTTATTAGTTTGCTTGATCTACCACTTGATCTACCACTGTTTCTATTTATTCTCCTTGGAACCTTTAAAAATTGGATCTAAACTATAGAGTTTATCGTCCTGTTAGGCTTCATTTTTATAATTTCTATAAGTCCCGTCAAACGTTACCATTATACTCCTCTACAACCGTCCACTACATACCTTATCATTCTCGTGTTTCTAATGCTATAGTTTTTAAAAGTCACACCAGTTACTACCCCTTACTTCTGTCATATTATTCTTTATTAGCTTACTCGATCTACCAATGTTTCTATTCATTCTCCTTGGAGCTTTTAAAAATTAGATCTAAAAACTATAAAGTTTATTGTCATGTTAGGCTTCTTTTTTATAATTTCTACAAGTCCCGTCAAAAGCTGCCATTATACTCCTCTACAACCATCCACTGCATGTTCTTTTTATTGTCGTTGCTATTTTTAAAATCGAACATAATTATCGTTTAGGTTCATTTTTTTACTTTTTAGAAGTTCCGTCAAAACGTTAGCGACTTTGTCACTGTACTCCTATACGGCTCGCCCGCTGCCACTCTTATTTATTATCATTGAGATTTAAAAATCAAACATGATTATCATTGAGGTTTTTTATTTTTACTTTTTGAAGCCCGAACCTTTAAAAATTTAACCTTATAGTTTTTAAAGTTTATTGTCTCGTTGGGTTTCATGTTTTTTTTATAATTTTTAGAAATCCCGTCAAACGCTACCACCATACTTCTCTACGACCCGTCCGCCGCATACTCTTTATTGTAATTGGGATTATAAAAATCTAACATAACTATCGTTGGAATTCATTTTTTTACTTTCTAAAAGACCCACCAACCATCGGCGGGTCTGCCATTGTACTCCTATACGACCCTCCCGCCGCCTCTCATTTTTATTGTAATTAAGATTTTAAAAATCAAATATGATTATCATTGGGGTTTATTTTTTTACTTTCTTGAAGTCATCGCCAACCGCCTTGAATCGATTGCTTCACGACCTGCCAGTCGTCTTTCCTTTTAATCGTCATTAGGATTCTATTTGGTGTTTTATTAATAGTTTTAGATGTCTCATCAACAGCCACCACTCTGCTCCTCTAGAGGTCTGTTACTTAAATAATCTTGTCATTTGTTTTAGATGGTATTTTCTTTCAATAGTTTTTTATCACTAATTTTAGTTATTTATAAATTGTATTCCCAGTTGAAATCTTATTTTTATTTTTCTAATTTTAGAATTTATTTTATTTTTTGAATTGTGTTCTTTTGATATTTTTATTTTTTTTATTTTCAATTTCAGTTGTTTCAAAACTATATTCCTACTTTAACTCTATTTTTAATTTTCCTAATTTTGGATTTATATTATTTTTTATTCCGAATTTTAATTAATCTACTATTGGGTTCTTATATGTAGTCATGAAATAATGCTTATATTTAAATTCCGAATTTAAGTTAATGTTAAATTATATTCCTACTTGAACTCTTATTTTCTTTTCTTTTTTTTAATTTCAATTTTTTATTCCGAATTTTAATTAATTTTGTATTGGATTCTTGTATGGACTCTTCTTTCAATATTCTTTATTTTTAATTCCAAATTTCAGTTATTTTTAAATTGTATTTCTACTCGAACTTTTATTTTTTACTCTTTCTATTTTCAAAATTTATTTTATTTTTATTCCGAATTTTAATTAATCATGTATTAGGTTCCTATCTAGACTCCTCTTTCAATATTGTATATTTTTAATTCCGAATTTCAGTTATTTTTATATTGTATTTCTACTTAGACTCTTCTTTTTTTTCTCCGTATTAATTAAGGAGGCAGTATTGTTCTAATTTTTACATGGACATGAGTTCGTTTTTAAGGAACGCAAGCTGTGGATCAATACATTAATTTTAATATGAGAAAAAGTTCAAATACTTCATATAGACAAAACGAATTTAAATATCCCGGTTAGAAATAAACTTTTCCTTTTCAGATTGGTTGGTTTCACATATATGTACAGGCCGTTTATTTAGTCGTATTGATCTCGAACTCTTTTTTTACTCTGATTCCTAAGTACGTTTCTCCTTTTTACTCCGATTCCTATTTCTAGTATGTTTCTTTAAGCTTCCGTGGAAAGATTTCTATTAGCTGTACAACTCTGATATCTTTATCTATTAGATCTGAGGTGCTAAAATCTAGATATACTATGATCTAACGGTTAATATTTTTCTCCTTTCCTCCGATTAATGTGGGAATTTTTAGCCTCCACAGCGAACGTGGTGCTTTCTTTTAAGGCTGTTTTAATAATATAATAGAAGATAGATGGTTCACTCTAAAAGCATTTGCCTTATTTGTTTCTCTTTATACGAGTTGTATTTTAGATTGAAATTTTATATAGCCATAGACAACACGATTATTAAAGTTCATTTTTTAAAAAAATAAGTTCATGACTATTTGTTTGAAATTTAAAACCTCGATGTTTAAATCAGGTTTAGTGCTTCGAATATATATACAATGATAAAAAATTATGAAAAATGTTGATAGGTAGGCTATATTGTATCTATTAATCCTACCAAATTTTATTGAGAAACATGACTTACGTAGGGAAAAAAAAAGAAGCAATATCATTAGAGAGGAAGGTGACCTGTTTTTAATAGTTCAAAGTGTAAAATAAGAAAAAAAAAGGTTTAAGATGTTGAGTGAAGCAATGAAATAGTTTACGGAGTAAAACGGATTTTTTTTTGTTTTTACTTTTAGAACTATATCACGAGTTTTATCTTCTGTGAAAATATCTTTCGCTGTGTATCTCGGAAAGTACAAAAGAACAATTATTGATCAACTAATGTACACGTCCCAGATGGCACCTATAAGTAGAGTAGTAGTAATAAGATAATGATCGGCGACGCGCGAAACGGGTTCTAGACTTTTCTTCACCCGCGCGGAGCTTAAGCTAACGCCCGCCGTTTCGTCGTCATCATCAGAAGAAGATAACTATCGCACGCCAGCGAAAGCGAAACCCGTGTGCCGGTTAGCGGCTAAGCGCGCTCCCCGCCCACCAGAAGCCGAGCTTCCCAGCGGCCATCGCCTTCCTCTCCTCTCCGCATATATAAACCCCCCACGTCTCCTCCTCCTCCACGTCAAACCACAATCCAACCAAAGCAAAGCAAAGGAGAGAGATCCCGGAGAAGAAGTTTGCGTGCAAGGCGATCGATCCATGAGCCTGAGGCACATGAGCCGAGTGGGCGCGCGCGCGGCGCAGGCCGTGCGGGAGGGCGCGGGGAGGTCGGTGAAGGACAAGGCGCAGTCGGCGACGACGTCGACGTCGTCGGCGGCGGCGAGGAGCAGCGGCGGCGGCAGCAGGGCACCCGCCGCGGGGTCGGTGGAGAAGGGCAGGGTGAGCGCGGCGGCGGCGGCGAGGGCGGCGGAGGAGAAGCGGAGGCGGGCGGAGCAGTCGCTGCGCACCGTCATGTTCCTCTCCGTCTGGGGTCCCAACACCTGATGAAGACTAGTACTAGTAGATGTGTAGGCTAGCGATAGCTTATCTGCATACGGTGGTGTGAAGGTTTTGTTCTGCGTCTGTGAAAATCTCAGATGTGAATGAAGATGTAATTAAGTATGTGAATCATCGTCTATGGATGCCGAAAATACTGTTTATTCTTGGATCTCGCTTGTGTTGTTAATCCTTCTTTGTTGACTTCTTGTTAATACTGTCTGTCTGTTCATCTATGGTACAGAAAATACTAGTACTGTTTATTCTTGTACCTCGGTTGTGTTGTTAAGCCTCTTCTCTTTGTTGTAAATACTGTTAGTCAGTCTGTCTGTGTATACACTTCCTGTAGTGATTTTTCTGAAGATCATTGTGCTCTCTTCTGCAAGTACTGGATCAATTATCTGAAGATTGTTTTGCTCTCCCCTCTTCTACAAGTAGTGAATCATTTTCCCGTCTTCTCGGCTTCTCCAGGGTGGACTGATTCCATTTTGACATTTTTTACTACCAATCTTGAAATTTCAGTATGCTGCATGTACCCTTTTCGTCCTTCTGTATGTTCTGCAAAAAAAGACAGAAAGAAGGGGGAAAAGAGGATGATTTTTGGCAGTGGATGTTGCAGTGTTTCACATAATCCGAGCAAAAAGAACATCTTAGCTCCTTAGAGCGAAGAATGTTAAGAGAAATCCTAAATAGAGCCATGCATACATTCCTAAGTTCAGAAAATGAAATTGGCTAAACAAAATTTCAGAAAAGGAACAGTACTTCACTATTTCATAGCATCTTGCAGAATACAATACCGTCAAAATTTCACAGATTCTACCATCTTACAAAAGGAAACGAACATAAGGCACAAATCACACTAGTCACTCTGCTCAACTGATGTCACAGCACTACAGCAGCAACAGAAGCATCGCGGCTAACTGGGTCCCCAGCACACGAGCTGCATCACATTCTCGGACTTCTCCCTGCGCCGCCGCCTCATCCTCTCCGCCACGGCCGCCTTCTCCGCCGGCTCAGCCACGCCACCGGAGAGCCGCTTCGCCTGCTGCCGCTGAGCCGTGCCTGGCGCCACCGCCGATGGCTTCGCCGCTGGCACCGGCTTGGCCACCGCAGGCGCCGGCTGCCTCGCGGCCCTCATGGCCTGCGCCGCCGCTCTCAGCAACACCCTGCTCGCGTACCTCAGGCTCATCGGTCGATGGATCGATCGCTCAAACTCAGAGATTAATCTTTACCACCTTTGAAGTTTCTTGCACGTACAAAGCTTAATGCTGGTAAGCGTATATATACAGGGAGAGCATAGTGATATTCCGTCGTGTTCCAAAACCATCGGTTTTGATGCTGGATTGGCGGCTGTATTCAACCAACTATTCACTGCACCTGCTCCTGACCGTGTTTTTCTTTTTCCGGTGTGCGCCAGTATGTGGGATGTGTTGTGCGCTCTCGTCACTGCGAGTAGTGGTATTCCATCAACTGAATTTTCAGTTGCAATTTGTCGCTAAGGACAAAACGGAATGGTAACTGAATCCAAAAGGGAGCAGGAAAGCGCGATGTATCGGAGGAGACGTAGCACACAGAGGGGAGGGATATATGAATTCTGAACTCTGAAGAAATGGGGATGGATGGGGACATTTTCAGTATTATCGTGTACTTTTTGGAGGTGTTGGAGTAAAGCGTCGTGCATGAGAGTACTTCTTCCCTGTTGTGCCACTTGAAGGTTGCAGCACACAGGTAGCATTGGAATATGGTGGATGGGAAGTGGTATCGATGGCGACATTTTTTCCGGGTATTTTGTTGGTTTCAGGATCCATCTTGTGCGAGACAAAAGTCGATTTTGGATTAGAACAAATTGATTAAAGCCGTGCACAGTGTTGCTGAACCGCTAAAGGATACTCAATTATCTATCCTACCAACCACCAATGCAAGGAAAGGATCACTTCGAAAAACAAGTGAGCAACGACCATCAGGCGAATTCCTTTTCTGCCTGAAGAATGAGCTTTTTCCTCGTCATACTGGTTGACGGATGACTCATCTGATGGCGTTAGTTCACTTGATACTGAAGAATTCTTTGGTCTGCTGCTAATCTGATGCACGCCTGGAGGATGGGAGGAAAACGGGTTCAGATTCTGAGTTTATTCCAGATTCATCAAGGCAAGTTCCAACTTTCAAGCGAAGTGACAATGCGTCGTCTGGATGGCCAAACACAAAGGACAGGAGAAACAGAATTGTGCATAACCAAAGCTCTTGATTAGTTGCCATATCATATATATCGTATATATACATCTTGTGCAAAACTCGTCTGCATATACAAGCAGTTCCATCTTGCAAGCACCAAAACCAATCTAACCACCTAACACGATCCTAATCTGACTGATCAGCTCAGTAACAATTAGTTGTTTGGGCCCCAGTTGCTGAGGTACATGACCGTCCTCAGCTCCTCCTCTTGCTGCTGGGCTTTCCTCCTCGCCGCCGCCGCCGCTGCAGGCTGCAGCGCACGCGCGCCGCCGCCGCTCTTGGCGCCGCTCGTCCCGGCCACGGCCTGCTGCCTGCCGCGCTGCTGGAGCGTCCGGAACGCGTAGTTCCAGCGGCACAGTCCGGCCTGGTCCTTGAGCGCCTCCACCGTGCCCACGCTCATCGCCGCCGCCCACGACGACGCCTTCGCCTTCCCTCCGCCGCTCGCCATGTGTTTGTTGCACTTGTACGAACGATCTGTACGTGTGTTTGTGTGAGCTCTGCACGCTCAGATGATGCTCTTGTTTGTGTTTGGGTGTGTGTTGCCTTCTGCCGGAATGGTGGTGGCGCGGAGCCGTGGTTTTATAGGGGAGAGACCAAGCTCGCGCGACCCGATTAGTGATCGCTAGAGCGCGAGCCGTCGCTGCCGGTGGCGTGGCGTGGCGTGGGCGTACGCGCGGTTTTGGACTCGTGCGGGTGAATCGGTGGGGGGCTCCCAGAAAACCGGGTGCAGAATTGCGTGGCTCTGGTTGGCCGCGCTCTTGCTCGCGCGCGGAACGAGGTTTGCAAATTGCGGCGCGTACGGTGTGCTTCTTGTGGTTGTGGTTGTGGGCGTCCGTGTGCTATAGCCTATAGCTAGCTGGCCACTTGCCGTGACGTTTGCCATCGTCTCGTCTCCGGCCGCCTGCCGTGCCCGGTTGAAATTCTGGTGCCGAACGAGACCAGGGCGTGTGCCGCCGTTATTATGTACTGGACTATGGTACGGACTAAGGAGTCCAAATACTCGGTTTTTGTTTAAGAAAGTGGAATAATACCCGTCATTTAGAAAGTTGGTATTCTACAATGGAGTTCTTCCATTGGCTAGCAGGGAAGTAGATGCGCAGGTGCAATGTATAATTGTGTAGAGGTGAACTGTTTTCGTTTTTTCTGGGGGTGATCCACATGTCTGCAAGTCAAAAAGTAGACTAGATTTTGTGTTGTTTGATCTTTTCTGGTCTAAAGAGTTTAATTTGCGTTATGTACTGCTTCATGTCAGTAAGTGGTTTATTGTATCTCCAATGGTTTTGACAAAAGCACATGTGTTGCGACCAAAGCAGGTCTAATACAGCATATACACTGCACAGGGAACTTCTCTTATTTCAAATAACTGCCGACTCTTGTTTCATTCTCTCTAGTCACTATTATCTCAAATCTCTATGCAGGTACACTATAATTTTAAAGAAGTAAGTAAGTACCGCTGTCTCCCTTGCAGCACACAGGATGATAAGGATCTGCCATATACTACTAATCTAATCCGTTCAAAGCAATACTACTAATCTTTTCATCAAAAAAAATAATACTACTAATCTGAGGCCTGAGGCATCTTGTGATCTTCTTACCTTCTTGGTGAGCAATAAACTATATGGATGATGGATCGTTTCTTTGCCGGCACTGACTCACATCACATGCGTTAGGTGCAGATTATTGTTACTAGTAACAAATTAGTACCACATGTTCTTTCCGGTGACGGTGAACGCGGAGTTATGGGAGGCGGGCAGGGGGAATCCAGGGGCTGGACAGCATGGTTTCCAGTATACCAGGTGCTGCATTCTGCTGCACCCAGCGTTTTGCTGACGATGCTGACCGCATGCGTGCTAAGATGCAGACAAACACACCACTAGAAGCCACCTGCCTGGTGCTTAATTACTTCAAACTAGCATGGTGGCCTCCAAAAGCATCATTCTATTTTCTCTCATATAATAGCATATATGTTTTCTTAATATATTATTCAAATATATTAAAATGACAACATAATTTTAAATTTTATAATAACTTTACAAAACTACTAATGTGTAATATTCATATTGTATTTTATATACGTGTTAGTTATTAATTATTTTTAATATCAAATTTTAGTTATTTGAAAATTATATATATTCCTATATGGACTCTAGACTCATCTTTTAATATTTCTTTTTTTAAATTCCGAACTTTTTGTAAATTGTATTTATATATATACTCTATGCTCTTCTTCCTATATTATTTATTTTTATTTCTGAATTTTTATTATTTCTAATTGTATTTCTATGTGGACTCTAAACTCATCTTTCAATATTCTTTAATTTTTAATTTCGAATTTCAGTTACTTCTAAATTGTATTCCTATATTGACTTTAAACTCTTCTTCACATGTTTTTCTTAATCTCGAATTTTAGTTATTTGTAAATTATATTTTTATATGGACTCTAAACTCTACTTTTAATTTTATTATGTTTATTCCAAATTTTAATTAGTTTTAAATTCCTATATGGACTCTATACTCTACTTCTAATATTCCTTATTTGTTTAATTCCGAATTTCTATTTTTTTTCTTAATTGTATTTATATATGTACTCTATACTCTACTTCTAATATTCCTTATTTTTAATTCCGAATTTCTATTATTTTCTAATTGTATTTCTATATGAACTCTATACTCTACTTCTAATATTCCTTATTTTTAATTCTGAATTTCAGTTATTTCCTAATTGTATTTCTATATAGACTCTAGTCTCCTCTTTTGATATTCCCTATTTTTTAATTTCGAATTTCAGCTATTTCTCAATTATATTTCTATATGGACTCTAGTCTCCTTTTCTAATATTCCTTATTTTTTAATTCCGAATTTCAACTATTTCTAAATTGTATTTCTATATGGACTCTAGTCTCCTTTTCTAATATCCATTATTTTTCAATTCCGAATTTCAACTATTTCTAAATTGTATTTCTATATGGACTCTGCCTTTTCTTTTTCTCCGATTAATGTGAGAATTTTTAGACCATAAGAGCGAACGTGGAGGCTCCTTTTTCTATTCTTTTAATAATATAATAGATAACTTTAGGCCTCTTTTGGCTTTAGAGTTTAGAACAGATAAATGTTATAGGATTCATATCTTTTTATAGCGTTATTTGGAACAAATGATTGGACATACACCTTATCATTAAGAACCCCCGATGAATTGAGCCGATAAATTTTAAGATTAACGAAATCATCACAAACATCTGAATGTCAAGTGCTATATCACCTGCTCCCTCCGTCTCAAAATATAACAATTTTTAGCTATCAGGATTTATCCTAACATATAACAACTTCTCCATCAATACTCTCTTTCCAACCAATCATAACCATCCACCATTCACTTTTTCCGTCTAACTTCACTACTCATTCAGTCACAATCCTCCACCATTCCCTTCAACCTACCCTCTCTGTCCCAAAAAAACGAATTTAGAACTGGATGTGACACATCATAGTACTATAAAATCTGGACATACATTTGTCCAGATTCGTTGTATTAGAATATGTCACATCCAGTACTATGTTTCATGAGACGGAGAGAGTACTTTTTTAATAACCATGTCTAACTCTAAAACTTCTTATATTCTGGGAGAGTAACACTAAAATAATTAGCCATAAATGTAAGTATTAGAGGAAGTTTAACATACGGTCCAATCTTATCAGAACATTTATGTGAACTTTTTTCACGTTACATCAAACGGTTATTTCTCTAATTTTTTTTCTTCTTCTTGTTTTACAATCATATGTTTTGTTATTGCATTTATCGATTTTTGTTATATCTATGTTTTCTCGTTCGTGCATTCCACAATACTTATATATATTGCATGCCGTAAGCTAGAGACAATGGTCATACACATTTTTACTATATTCGGATGGAGATTTACAAATAAACTTGAATAAATGCTTCTATATTTTATGTTGGTATTATTAGTTAGGGACAATTAGTTATTGTTTAGATCTTTAATGTTTTTTATGCTCTCCATTCAGTGAATTATGTAGAGCGGCTGTAGCTCTTTTAAGCAAAGGTTGAGAATCTTTCCATTCTCTTAAAAAAATTCCATACCAAATTGAATTGAATTACAGATCTGACTATCATTCAGTAACAAGTGGTAAGTATTAAGTACAAACTAGATTGCTACCATTTCTTCCATCATTTCGATCATAAATTTTACGGTGCAGTATCAAAAGAACAGAACACCTTTCTCCCAGAAAGTTTGGATCTTAAATTGATGACACGGCCGGATTTTTGCGTGCATGACCGTAAAAGTGGTCAGTTCATAAATTGTTCTAGACGACACAATCACAAAGGCAAAATGACCCATGAAGCAATTGTACTCAAGTAGCAGAATTTTTCATCATCATCGTGATATATTACGATCAGCTGGGAGCAACCGGCCAATTACGTCTCCGGCCATGGCTGCTACCGTCAAACGGACACCCAGCAGAGCAGATCGAGATCCATCCGAGCTAACACTAATGGCCTAGCTAATTGGGACCCCAGCAGCTGAGGTACATGACTGTCCTCAACCCCTCCTCGGCCTTCTCCGCTCTCCTCCTCTCCGCCACCGCCGCCGCAGAAGCTGGCAGCTTCTTGCCCTGCGAGACGCCGGCGGCGTTGGCCTTGGCCGCCTTGTGGATGGACCGCAGCGCGTAGTTCCAGCGGCAGAGTCCGCCCTGGTCCTTGAGCGCCTCCACGGCGCCCACGCTCATCGCCACCATCCACGACGCCTTCGCTGCACCCGCCATTGAAGGTTGATGACTTGATTCACTGGTGATCTGTGGAAATTTTCCTCGCTTGCAGTGGACTCGTTGTACTGTAGTGGGTTGATGCTGTGTTGGTTAAGTTGAGGAGAGCGGGTGGGGGGTGGTGCGGTCTTTTATACTGGAGTGGCCTGGCGAAACAGGCGGCGGGCGCGCGTTGGTTTTTCCGGGATACCGGTGGTTCCACTGCTTAGCTGTGGCGCTGCACGCACTCGTCGCTTTCCGCGCGGGTTGGTGGCTGGCTGTGGCTCATCACACGCCCGGCGCCCACCTCGTCTCGTCCTGGTTGGTTGTTTGCGGCATGGTGGAGGCTGGGGATGAGTTGGAGTTGGCCCGCTGCGTGCGGCTGGCCCACGCGTGCAGTGATAGGATAGGAGTAGCGGAGTAGTGGATCCCACGATGGTACGTGCCACTTCCATGTGGGTCCCACGAAGCAGTGGAAAAATCGCGGATCTACGGGGAGTCCATGAGCTTGTCAATTTAGCAGCACATTTCTTTTTTTTTTCCTTTTTTTTTTCATAAGTAAAGTCCTTAATTTCTCGTTTGAGTAAGTGTTTGTTTGACACGACTCCACTCTAGCTATATCTTTCCTGAGGTTAGAACTCAACCAAACGATTTCAGCTTAAAAAAAATTGGAGTGGATCTATTAGAGGGCTATCATAAAATGAATTACGCATATTATTGTAAGTTCGTAGGGACTAACCAAGTTATTATACCGAAATAATAAATTTACAATTTAGTATATCTATTTACACTCACCACGTAAATTCATGTACAGTAAGCATAATTTACTTGTCGTAGCACACAGGTTTTCGCAAGTACTTGCTACTAGAGTACTGGGGCTTCTAATGTAGGCTGGCTCGTCCTAGAAGACTGGAGTTTTAGCGAGCGTCCGAGCGATTGCTTCTTTTTCCTGCACTAGACTCACATCAGTGTTGCACGCGTTCAACAGACTGCATGTCGTCGAATTGGGAAGCGTATTATGATCTGCTGCCTGCTGGTGACTCTGAGAGCGGAGTTATGGGAGGTGGCATGGAAAACCAGGGGCTGGAGGACATGGTTTCCCATATACCGGGTGCGAGTACGCCAACAGAAATGTTTAGGGGCCGTTTTGTTCAATACTTCAACTTACCACACCATACTTTAGGCTGCCACATCTCCTTAGCCTTGTGTTTGGTTCATTGCCATAGTTATGGCAAGTCATACTTTCTTACCATCTTACCCCACATGTTATAGACTGAATTCTTTGTCTAACTTTGCCATAAGTGTGGCTCATAATTTATTAGCCACAAAAAGTGTGGCAAGCCACACTTGCCTAAAGTGAGGTATAAATGTTAGTTAATAACCAAACAGCCCAACTTCACTCAGTGTCATGGTCCGGGACTCTCCTGTCTCCTCCAAGGCTCCAGGCCCCACGCTTAATTAGTAGCTTCATTTATACTAGTACTTCATTAGTGCCGTTGTTACCAGATTATACTACTTTGAAGAACTTGTGGTTGTTCTTAGCAATTTTATTTGCCTTCCATGGCCCCTTCGTAGCAAGTGTGTTGCAATTCTGCCAAACGTGACCTTAATTACTTCAAACTTCAAAGCATCCATATCCCCAAGCTAACATGGTAGCAATTCGCAAAGGCAAATGGTTCCAGGAGGACAGGAGGCAATTGTACTCGAGTAACAGAAGTTATCATCATCATCTTGGTATATTACAATCAGGAGGCAACCGGCCAAGTTCTTAGGCCATGGCTGCTACTACAGACTCACTCCTAGCTAATTAGATCGTGCTATATACTAATTGGTGTTAGACTTTGCTCTAGGATCACCTAGGTTAGATCTAGTCGGGTGGTTCTATTTGGGTTTGATGAACGACAGGGTAGATGAAAGGGAGAGGGTTTAGATACCGACCGGTTGAGGAGTTCGTGGAGGAAGAGGCGCCAGACATCGTCGTTGTCGTCGCGGCTTGACGTGGATGCGGCGCCGGTGAGGTCGACGGTGATGACGGCTGCGGCAGTGGTGGTCGTAGACGTCCCGGCGATGAGGCGTGGCGCGGCGGTGGCGTTTCCCGTCACTGGCTGCGCCCCCTCTCGATCGGATTAGGGTTTTGTGGGGTGGAGTTGGCGGCGGCGGCGAATCTCGTACGATGTGCCGTGCCGGCCTCCACCCCTCTTTTATATGGCGCAGTGTGACGGGGGCCCACCAGCCATTGGGCTGGGCGCCCCCGATCAGGGCGCGGTCAAGGCCCCCTTGAGCCGTTGGGCTCAAGGGGAGAGAGATCTATCTAACATTCTCCCCCTTGATCTCACTTTTTCTTTTAGCTTTTTCTATTCCATCACAGATTGGTAAATAGAGCATGTTTCATCGTCACGGTCAATCGCCGATGGATTCGACAGGCACTATACACATCTCTATTCAGAAACAGATACTTTACTTTGGGCCCTGTAGTCCAGGATTCATAAGGCTTCCCTTAAACCCATGCCGGCTATATGTTCCTTGAACACGTTGGGTGGTAGGCCTTTCGTGAGCGGATCCGCGAGCATCCTTTCTGTTTTAATGTGCTCGAGACTGATTGTTTGATCCTGGACTTTGTCCTTCACAACATAGTACTTTATGTCAATGTGTTTGGCAGCACCACTTGACTGATTGTTGTGAGCGTACATTACTGCGGGTTCGTTGTCGCAGTATAACTTTAGTGGTTTCTCAATACTGTCAACCACCTTTAAACCGGGTATGAACTTCTTTAGCCAGTTCACCTGCCCCGTTGCCTCATAGCATGCTATAAACTCGGCATACATAGTAGACCCTGCAGTGATAGTCTGTTTTGAGCTTTTCCATGAAATAGCTCCTCCTGCCAGGGTAAACACGTATCCCGATGTTGACTTTGTATTATCTTTTGCAAAGTCAGAATCTGAGTACCCCACTATCTGGAGTGATTCTGATCTTCTGTAAGACAACATGAGGCCTTTTGTTCCTTGCAAATAACGCAAGACTTTCTTTACCAATTTCCAGTGCTCTAGGCCTGGATTACTCTGAAATCTGCCAAGTAACCCGGTAACAAATGCCAAGTCAGGTCGTGTGCACACTTGCGCGTACTGTAGGCTTCCTACAGCTGACGCATATGGCTTTGTTTTCATTTCATTGAGCTCATACTGATTTCTGGGACATTGCGATGCCCCATACTTTTCGCCTTTCATTATAGGAGCAGGTGTAGCACTGCATCTGTACATGTTGAATTTCTTCAACACCTTTTCTATATATGTCTTTTGAGAAAGTCCCAATGCATACTTTGTTCTATCTCGGTGAATCTCTATGCCCAAAACATATGAAGCCTCACCAAGGTCTTTCATGTCAAAGTTTGAGGACAAGAATTTCTTTGTTTCCTGCAGTAGACTGACATCACTACTAGCCAGTAGAATGTCATCCACATACAGAATTAGGAAAATAAATCTCCCATTCTTAAACTTTGAATAAATACAGTTGTCCTCGACATTCTCTTGAAACCCAAATTTCTTTATTGTCCCATCAAACTTCAAGTACTACTGTCTCGAAGCTTGCTTTAATCCATAAATGGATCTCTTTAGACGACATCCCATATTTTCGTTTCCTTTCATGACAAAACCTTTCGGTTGCGCCATGTATACTTTTTCCTCCAAATCTCCATTTAGAAATGCCGTTTTTACATCCATCTGATGTAATTCCAAATCATAATGTGCCACTAGTGCCATTATAATCCTGAAGGAATCTTTACAAGAGACTGGAGAAAATGTCTCATTGTAATCAATCCCTTCTCGTTGCGTGAAGCCTTTTGCCACAAGTCGCGCTTTAAACTTTTCTATATTCCCTCTGGAGTCATATTTGGTTTTGTAGACCCATTTACAGCCTACTGTTTTGGCTCCTTTAGGAATTTCTTCTAAATCCCAAACATCGTTTAGTTTCATTGATTTCATTTCATCTTTCATGGCTTCCAACCATTCAGATGAGCGAGCGCTTCTCATGGCCTCTTCATATGAGGTGGGATCATCCTCCATATGCGACTCTTCTATATTATAAACTTTATAGTCATCACGGATAGCCGATCTTCTGACTCTTTCAGACCTTCTAGGGGCCTGCACATTTGGCACATCCTGTACCTGAGGCTCTTGATGAGTCTCCTGTACTGGCACATTATCTATTTGAGGCTGTTGTAGCTCCTCCTCTGGTGTGGCAACCATTTCTGTTGAATCCTGTATAACAGGTTCCTCACTCTCATTCATTGTTGCCACAGGAGGGGTAACAACAGGTGCTTGTCGGTGATATGGGACCGGGAGTATCATGACTAGAGGCTTGAGGCAGACACAATCGCCCACGTGGCCTGGCACCTTCGGGGACGTCGGGCCCGAGGGTGAGGTGTCCGCCCTCCTCCTGATTTCCCCCGAGGGGGGGTCGGGTTGCGCTTGCCCCGGCCCCGAGGGCCGAGGCACCCCGACCCCCTTAAGGAAGTCTGCGCCACATATATGGGATAAGTGAGCACAGCTGTGCTCACCTAACAGCATTTATTGCAGTCTGGTCAAGCGTGTCACGCTGCATGCAGCGCAGTACGGCGCGTTCCTTTATCCGGTCTGTGACCAGTCACAGACCGGTCAGATCACGGGTTAGGTGGCGACTGGCGGTCTGACGCACGCCTTACCCCATCCCGTCAAGGTGTGAGCTTCTAAGCACTCGTCCCCAGCTGGAGCTAGCGTGTTACATCCCAGAGATGGCACGTTAACCCCGATCGATATATACCAGGCTTCATCCTAACCATTACAGGCAAGGTGTTACACAAGGAAGGGCAAACATGCATGTTGTTAAACTGACGCGTGGTGGACAAGAATGACCGGTCTGGCACTGGTCGCGTCAGCAACGGGCAGCCACGATCCCACGTTGCGCCTGTCTCCGCCGGGAGTGGAGGTAGGTGTGGGCTGTCCCATCGGAGTGTCATTCGGACAGCAACCATACCAATCTCCGTCCATAAAGAGAAGAAAAGTCCAGTTTGGAAAGGGAAGGGTGCATGTGGTATCCCCTTGAAGTATAAAAGGAGGACCTTGCCCATAGAGAGGGGGGTTTTTTTTTATTCTTTTCCAGATTTAGAGCTTAGAACGGGGGAGAAGTTGGCTCACACTTTGTAGCTCATTCATACACAAATCCACAAAAACACAGGAGTAGGGTATTACGCTTCGCAGCGGCCCGAACCTGTATACATCGCCGTGTCTCGTGTGTCTTGCGGGCAGACGATCTTTCCAGATACAGAGGGAGAGCGAGAGCTTGAGATTTCACCCTAAGCCCCCGGCCGAACTGGCAAAGGGGGGCCTGCGCGGTCTCCCGGTGAGGAGCCACGAGCTCCGTCATCTGGCGCGCCAGGTAGGGGGCTCAGCGTGTGTTTTCTGAGCTCTCAGACTCTTCCGTGTGCGCCAAGTTTTTCTTGTTCAGCCTAATGGCCGAGCAAGGAAAAGCGCACGACCTCTCTCCGAGTGTGAGCGGCGACGACGGGGAGCCGAATCCACGCCGTCGAGCTCGTACTCCCCCACCTCCTCCGCGCCAAAGCCCTAAGCAGGGGGAGGCGCTTGAGAGGGTCGACAAATCCGTGGCATCACCAGTCGCAGGTGATGCAGGAGAACGGCGAGATGGGGAGCGTCGCCTCCTCGTCTACGGCGACGGCAGCACGCCTCAGGGTGCGCTTCAGGCTGCTGGCGCGCTCCTACGACACCCGCCTGTCGTCCATGACCCGGAGTCTCCAGCCCAACGATGGCTGGAAGACGTGGCCAACTTGGTCATGACGGCACAGCAGCGCCTGGGTGCTGGTGGACGGTCCGCCACCACCAAGACCTCCGGCGCCGCTACCACCGGCTCCGTGTCATCAAGGCGGAGGGCGCGGCGAGCGGCGGCGGCTGCACGTCATTCGGCTGCCACTCCCTCGTCGACACCGTCGACTCGGGAGGATCAGCATGGGGAGCCGGATGCCCGCCTCAACATCGAGCGCCGGCGTAATAGCCGGCGTACTCCCCGTGCAACGGAGGGCGCCTCCTCGTCCAGAGTGTCACCTCGACACGGACGTGAAGATCAGCCCTCCGTGCCCCCGGCCGGTGGTGTTGGCTGTAGAGCCTTTGTGGCGAGTCTTCGGAATGTCCGTTGGCCCCCAAGGTTCCGGCCCACCATCACCGAGAAGTACGATGGGAGCGTCAACCCCACCGAGTTTCTCCAGGTCTATACGACCGGGATCGAGGCCGCTGGGGGTGACGACAGGGTCATGGCGAACTTCTTTCCCATGGCCCTAAAAGGACAGGCGCGGGGTTGGCTAATGAACCTGCCACCCGCGTCGGTCCACTCCTGGGAAGATTTGTGCCAACAGTTCACCATGAACTTCCAAGGCACATATCCGCGCCCAGGCGAAGAAGCGGACTTGCATGCAGTACAGCGAGGCGATGATGAGTCGCTTCGCTCGTACATTCAGCGGTTTTGCCAAGTCCGCAATACTATACCATGCATCCCTGCACACGCGGTGATCTACGCGTTCAGGGGGGGTGTGCGGCACAACCGCATGCTCGAAAAGATTGCCTCCAAAGAGTCCCAGACTACCGCAGAGCTTTTTCAGCTCGCGGACCGAGTGGCTCGTAAGGAGGAGGCCTGGACCTGGAACTCCTCCGGTTCCGGAGTGGCAGCTTCGGCCGCCCCCGGATCCGCCGCTCAGACAGGGCGGCGTGACAGGAGGAGGAAGAAGAGGCCGGACCGTTCCGGCGACGAGGGTCATGTCCTCGCCGTCGAGGGCGCTCCGCGGGCCACTCGA